ACTCATCCTGGGTTCATAAGCCTTATGTGAAACTTACATTCAGAGATGGTCCCCAACCAGAGAGGGAAACATCAGTGAAAAAGGTGTAGGTCTGGTTTGAGTGGAGGTAATGGAATGCCAATGGTGGTATTGTAACAGTCTAGTCACCAATACAGATTCTTGAGTAGAGGAGGAGACAGGTAAACCACTGAAGTCAAAGGTTCCTGTGAATGGTTCCACTGGTCATAGAAGAACCATTGGAGGAGGTGCACATGTGTGTGATTCAAAAGGATAAATGGTTCTGGTGAAGTCATGGACCCCAAAAGTGATATAACCTCTCATGCAGTATGAGAAGGCTGGAGGTTCCAGAGCTTGCAGGTGGATAGGAGAAGAGTGGAGCAGGGCTGAGAAAGGTGTTGAAGCAAACTTCCAGGTGAACAAGATATTGGGTGGGAGTGAGAAAGGATTTTTAAGTTTTGACAAGCCACCCCAGATGGTCAGCTTCCCTCAAAAGAAAAGAGGTATGAAGAGAAGACTCTTCTCATGAGTGGGAAAGGAGAAGCCAATCATCTATGTAGTCTGTGTAAATGGCGAGAAAAAGCCCTGACAATGCAGTTGAAAATGTAGAGATCCAAGGCAATGCCAAATAAAAGAGTCTAAAACTGGAAAATACGAAGGACGCATCCAAAACGTTGACCTTGGTCTTCCATAGTCTGGGGGAAAAGGACCAATGAAGAGAAAATTAATTTTTCATGAAGAGTTTGAGGGAAGATTGTTTGTTTTGAATTTCGCGCAAAGCTACACGAGGGCTATCTGCGCTAGCCGTCCCTAATTTAGCAATGTAAGCCTAGAGGGAAGGCAACTAGTCATCACCACCCACCCCCAACTCTTGGGCTACTCTTTTACCAACGATTAGTGGGATTGACTGTCACATTATAACGCCCCCACGGCTGAAAGGGCAAGCATGTTTGGGGAATGGGGATTCGTACTTGCGACCCTCAGATTGTGAGTAGAGCTCCTTAACCACCTGGCCATGCCGGGCCTTGAGGGAGATAAGGTCGATAATAGATGTCAATCCCCGGTCTTTTTGGGGACCATGAAGGGATGAGAGTAAAACTACAAAGAAGGGTCATACACTCTCTCTATGGTCCGTTTGTGTAATAAGTCCGACATTTCCTCTTCCAGATGTTGAAAATAGATGGAAGAGGAAAGGGAACAGAGTGAGGGATTTGAGAGATAGTATGTGGGTAAAAACTAGAGTAGCCCATCTGTTTACAGAAAAATGTGACTGTAGGTGTGTAAACCACAACAGATGGTCCCTCACTTGACAGTCACCAATGAGCTCAATGAGTCTGATACCAGAATGAAGTAGGATGGGTAGAAGAAGAAGAAGGTTGGAATAAAAAAATGGAAGGACTAGGTCTAAGTACAGAGGTGAGTTTGGGACAGTCTGGAAACTAAGAAAGAAAATGAGGATTGATGATGGGTAACCTCCAACCATGATTCCATAGAATCAAGAATACTTAAAAAAACTTTAGAGCAAAGAAATGGGGCAAGGCAGATATCTCGTACGAAAGAAGTCAAACCCAGGAAAGGAGGGTATGTATTCCTGCCCACCAAGTCCTAACAACAAGTGAGGTAAATGAGCAGGGAAAGAGCAGAAGAAGTGGAATAAGCCATGGTGGAAAAGAGAAGGGAATGAGAATCACCAAAAAAAATCACCTGGGGCATGATGAAGGTAATGAATCATGGAAAGAAGGATCAGGTAAAAATGAGAGAATGGGACACTGAAGG